ATTGGGAAGGGGCCTTGCAATCTTTCAGAATACTCTGAGCAACAAGATCCTTGAAGAAGGGAGAAATTATGCTTTCTGTGGAAGCAATTTGATATGCTTGGTGAGAAGCAGGATGAGACCAGATGCCCTTTTAGTGGTTTTGGATACTTTAGGGAAAATACATAAGTGGATCCATCTCAAAGCTCTTGCTGCCTCAGGTACCAGAACAGCAATATTCATTAGTGAATTTTTATTGCCAGGCATGAATAAATTACTAGATATCTAGTGCCTGCAGATAGGCAAAGGCAAAGATGTATGGGAAAGTTGGATTTAAGACAGGTTTTCATCTCTAAAAAAATATTCCTATTCGTTTGGTAGTTCAAATGCAGTCATATCCTGGATCAATGCAATCTTGTCTCAAGCAGAGAGCTGTGATAAATCTGTTCAAATCTCATTCTGTCAGCCGGCTCTGTGCCAACAAAGGTGATAATGAATGCTTAGGTATGAACTCAGTTGTTGCTTTTTTTTTCTGGCAACAAACTATGTAGAGACTCAAGTGGGGCAGTTTATTGATTGACCATAATATCACTCTAAGTTGGCTGYGCTTTCATAGAAATATGGAAGTATTTAGTGTTAGATCTATTTCCATATGAAGAGACAGCCAYAAAAACAGTGGAATCAAAACCGAATTGCCATTTTTTATACTGTAGCCAACKGAACAAATCTTYCTCTTTTCCCCAAGTATCTCTGTTCAGGTTTCTGTGGGCTTGTTCAGCTCACCCAGAAAAGTGGTTTCTAAGGGTGCAGCTGACAAGGCTAATGCATGGTTCAGTGTCGCAGTGATGATCCCTGAATCATGCTGCAGCATTACTGTTGTCATAGAGACACAGATTTTTGWGTCCAAAGGGATGGTTTTGATAATCAGCTCAGACCTCTTGTGAAACACATAGTAGCTTGACAATTAGTAAGTAACTTTGCCAAACTGGAGCCCAGCTGGGCCTTCTCTCTCCTGTCACATTTCACTGAAGTTTGCGAGATGCTGTAAAACCCCAAACAGGGATTTAATTCATTGTCRGAGTGATGCTGTCAGCACACATCTTTTTCTGATGAGTGAAAGCCAGGTGCAAGCTTTGTCCACAAGGTCATACTGACTGTGACACTGGACACCTCAGAGGACCAGAGTATTAGAGTAATAACAGTATTCTGTCTTCTAGGTAGACCATGGAGGTCAGCAGGAGGATGCTAAAGTGAGGCAGCTGCGTGCCGTCAGGAGGCTCTGACAGACAATCTCTGGGTGATATAATTGTAGCATTTTGATGCTCCTGTCCCTGGTTGTTTGCCTTCTCCTTCCGCTTGCTCCTTTATCAGCTGAAATGTGTCTGCACCTCTGCCAGTCCAGAGCCTGTTGTGGCTGCTGCCAGGGACACTRGACTTGTGCCAAGGCACTCGGTTCTGAACTGCCATAGCAGTTGTRGCCCTTGCCAAAGGCTACTTGATACAGCAGAACTAACAGCTGGGGGATTTAACATCTTAAATTGCCAAGCTGACATCCATCAGAACTCATGTGAGAGTGCCAAGCAGTCTGTGTAACCTCCAGCCAAGTATTAAGTCTCCTCTTTCCCAGTATATGCTAATCTGTGAGAAATGGATTGTTACAGATCCCAGCTCCGCTGATGAAGCAGTTCTAGTTATAAAATCCCTTGATTCTGTACACAGAAGTTTGCAGTGGCCATCATGGTATTAGACACTGGAATAGGTGTAAAACGTCTGATATAGTCTCCCAGTCTTCCACTGCAGAATTTGGAATAAGGTGAACTGGTTGGGCAAAGCTRTGTAAAATGTGTGAAGAAACACGTGCAGCCAAAATGCTCTCCTTCTAAACAAATACATTTCTCTCATTGTCAGCCATGCATACATAGCTTCTTCAGTCCTGTAAGATAACTTCAGGAAAGCTGGAAATAGAATTTTTAAATGAAAATAATCTGCTGCCTCAATATAGGCATGCATTATCTGTGCTTTTGCTGTGCTGCTGGAGATGTTTGATAATAGTGCAGYGTTTGATTCCTTGTGCTCTTTTCCATTTCTGTGTCACACAGCTGTTCCTCTGCTCTTTGCAGTGCCTGGAATTACTCACTGTTAAGCATTTTTAAGGAACAATTCTTATCACTTTAGATTTTCAGGGACTGTCTTTGGCTAATTACCACACGATCCCTGTGAGGTGAAATGACTCACTGCCTTTCTGATCACAAGTAGTGTGATGCTAATCTATTCTTTGRTAAATTAACCTGTGGGATTTGCTGGTTCCTCTGGTACATGGTCCTTCTGCAGCAGGAATAAGTCACCCTTAAAAACAYGCTCAAAGAGAGCCAGGTTGTGTGTGCTTCAGCATTGGAGCTCTGTGGCACTGCTGCACAGCTGCACAGCTCTTGTGGATGCACTGGGGAGTGCTCAGTATTTGGCTTTTGGAGGAGAAAATGTATCTCCAGCTTGCTTGTTTTAGAAATAGGGAAGCACCCTGGGACTTGCTGAGGAGCCACGTGCCTGCCAGCCTTTAGGAATGCAGGAAATCCTACAGCTCTCACACTAAACAGCACTGCTCTGGAACMTGGTGCCACACGGGTTAAACCATTTAACTGTGCACAGTACAAAAATGACCAAAGGCACTTTCCAGTGCTTTGAAAATGGTTTGACAGTGCACATATTGCACAGTATCTGTGTAGTGGTGAGAAATGCTGCCTGCTATTGCACAGACTTGCTTAGTGATTTACAGACTTTCTTAGTGATTATAGCACCACCTTCCCTGGTCCTCTCATTTAAGGGACAGWTCTGTCCTGGGGTTTATTTAATTCCTGTCTGTCCCCAGATTCAGGTGGATAAGCCATTCTATCAAGGGATGTTTTTAACCAAAAACATGTTACCAGTTTTATTTTCATCCTAGCTCTGTGACCATTTGTATCCTGGCACAACAGACACAGAAGTACAATAGTGGAAGGGTGAGGTAGRAGCTGGAAGAAGAGCTTGAGGGTGGGAGTCTTGTAAACTGCTTCTGTCATGGAAAAAAATGCCACGTGCCCAATACACATGGCACRTGCAGAGAAACCATGGTCATGGTTATCATCTCTTTATTCACCCTCTCCGTTCCTCCCCCTCATTACTTTCTGGGGCATTAGTGGGTACTTCTAAGTGCAGAGTTCTCTGGGYAAATGGCTTACTTGTACTCAAATGCCTCAGAAAGAAGCAGGCAGCWTGTGCTTCAGAATGATATTCTTCCAAGTAAGATCAATAATTTTCAAAAGTTTTAGAAGAGATGAATGTGGTGCATTAGGAGGTGTATTTTAGGTGGAGAATTGCTGGAAACACCAGTGCCTCTGACACATCTACTGCTCGTGGGCTTCCAGTAGCAGGTAAGCACATATGTGCTTTTGGAAAATCATTCAGTTGTTAGCTGAACTGACATAAATACTCATGAGAAGGAATTCACTCTCCAAATTTGACCAGTTGCAAGTTGTAATCAGCTCAACAAGTCTTAACATATCAACATATGTATCTCTGGAGACATGAATTATTTATACAAGTGTTCCAAAGGTCTGAAAAGCAATTTTCTTTTGGGCATGTGTGACTGGCCACATGAGCGATATGGTATCCTCTCATCCCTGATTAGGTTAGCATTTTAATTGCTTATTCCATTTGATGCTAATTTTGATTCACAATGGGGTCTCAGTGGTAGTACTAAGTCCATTCTCACTGAACATTCATCCCTACAAARCTTCGCTTATGTGAAAGCATGCAAAAAAAGAGGTATAAACTAGTAAAGTTTCTTTATTTTTATTATGGGCTGCTACCTGATAAATGCTTATGTACTTTCATCATCTTCAGTCTTGATTGAGCTGGGGAAATAAATCAACTACCTCCCAACCAATAAACTAATGTATGAGTTYGAGATGAAGACAACCAATAAACTAATGTATGAGTTCAAGATGAAGACAACTTCATTACCATCACCCCATTTTGGTTGCTGTGGTGTTTACATATATCCATTTCCTCTGCTAATTAGGTAGAAAAGTGGTTGAGGARAAGTGTTATGCACTTTATTTTGAAAATCAAGATATGACCCATTCTCCAAAAGCATCCATTACATGCTTTAATAAATTTAAGCCAGAAGATGAGCCAAGCAGCAGCAAGCAGCATCAAGGAAATTGTTTTGTGCTAAAAAATTTAGGGGATTGCAACACCCAAGTATGGAATAACAACCATGCAATTAAACAAGCAACTTCTTAGGTCCTGTAAAGTGGTGGTAAAGGTCTAAAGGTCTAAAGGTCTAACTTCTAAAGGTCCTGTAAAGCTCAAAACTCTTGGACTGAGTTTTGAGCTAGCAAAAAGTGACTGGGGAGATCATTAGCATGACGGGAAGCCCTGGAAAGGGAAGCTACAATGGCCAGCATAGTAAAGATTCTTTTCAAAACCTTCACAGGCACTTCTCTAAAAGCCAGGATCATAAAACATATAGAGACGAGGTTAATAATAAAAATTGGTAAGTGCATGCYTTGTTCCTATGCTCATGGAAGACAATGACAAAGCTCTCATTAACCTTCGTGCTGAAGGATCAAGTTGTTTCCTTTTATAACCTCCAAATGATTTGGTAACAGCAATTGATCAATCCAAGATGTCAATCTTGATGTTAGAGATGAATGTGCCAAGGTGAAGTAATTAATCCAGGTTCAGCAGTGATTAGGTGCTGAAGATGGACAGTGCTTGATTGCTATCCTCTGAGCCAMTCTACAAAAAATAATCTCTCCTCCCTTCCTTGACAACAGATTTTGAAAGACATCAACAGCTTGGATCAACCAATACTGTGAATGAAACATATTTTGTCTTATGTATTACAGAAATACATTTAGTATGTTCAGTGTGCAAACTTGCTGGACAGATAGTATTTGAACAAGTTGCTCCTGTTTTGCCTAACCTGTAAATGCTCAATTCTCAGCTGTCATTTGGCCAACCCTTTCCCTCCAGTAACTTACAACTTTCAATTTCTAGTGTGCAGTTTTGTTCATCCAGAGGATATCTGCGTAGATCCATCATGCAAGCAGCTGTTGTTGTGATCCTGTAAGAGGAGGGTGAAAAAAAAATGAGACTTGAAACCATATTTTACTTGTTTGAGATGGCAAGATTTTCTATAATGGGTTTTCTGTTTGTTTAAGTACAGAATGGTATGCACTTGGATTCCTGGCATGCAATCTTTATAGAGCTTGTAAAGCATGATTAATTTATGCAGCACAGTATACTGATTGCAGCATAAAGCATGAGACCATATGCTGAATATTGTGGAGAAGGATTTTGACACAAAAGTTTATGTGCTAAAGTGTACAGTGTTTTAAAGAACATTCAGTAAGATTTCTAATTGAAATTTTTAATGCTTTTAATTCAGACATCTTGAAATAGTTTGGCAAATTTATTTACAACTTGTACTGCTGAAGCTTTCTTTTTCCATTTTGTTGTCACTTACTGCTGTTTTAATTTTATTGGATAGGTATGTGCATTTTCATTCATACTATGGAATAGCTGGTATTATCTTATTCATTATTTTTATGGTTTCATAATCAGTTAATCATTAACTATGCKAATTGTACATCACTCTTAAAAATGGCACAAGGCAATAAAATGCTACTGAAATATAAAATTGTATGGTGGTCACTTGATGAACATTGAGAGAACAGTGATTGCAGGCTGGATATTTCAGACCCTTGCTCCTGCTAGAGGGTGCRTGAGTTGATATTTGATCCCTAAAGGTATTCTCTCCTGCAGTTCCTCTCCCTTTGTTAGACCACAAATCACAGAGCATCTGAAAAATAGTTTCTGATAAGCCTGTGACTGGGAGGAAAGTTAAATGACTTCATGAGGATGGGAGCCAAGTTTCAGCTTCTTTTAAAGGTCCCTTTGAGAAAGACAATTATATCAATATCAATGTTTTCAAACTCACAAAAGGGAGTTATCACCTTCATTTGCTTTTTTTTTTTTTTTTTTTTTTTTTTTTTTTTTTTTTTTTTTTTTTTTTTTTTTAATTTTTTGGTGGTAGATGGGCTCTTGAATGCTTATAAAACTTTTGAAGTTGTGAATGGGCAAACTTGGCTTGTAATTTTATTGGTCTCTCTCCTTCTCTCTCCAGTGATTTCTACCAAAGGCAGATAACCTCTTTTCTTGATCTGGATTTGGTCCTGTTGTTCCAGTTCCATGTTAATGAATTCCAGAGGAACACATCTTGAGATTTTACTTTTGATGTGCTCAAAGTCAAGCACACTTACATGCTGTATTGGGGTGATAATCCTTGCTGTCACAGAACTGACAGAATTTAAAAGGGAAAAAAATGCCACATACTTTATTAGTGTGACATGCTTCAAAATTTCCYAAGTCTACAAAATCCATCTGTCATATCTAGTATAAGAAACATCTAGCAGGGGCTGTAATGAGAACCAGTCCACAAAACTGCTCTGGAATACTGTGTAAAGTACCATGAAAAAGGTACATTTATACTTTTTTTCAAGCCAATTTTGTCTCATTCAGCAGAAATGCATGTGCCTTAACAGGTTTGTATTTGTCCTAAAAAAGGTCCAGGGTTTCAGCTGCAGCAGGATCTCATTTAGATTAGCCATGTACCACTWATACCTTACTGACAGGCACTGAGAAGATACGCAGCACTCATTTGCCAGACACCTGCTTAATAATGCTTAAGATCACACATAACAATATAGTAACATTAGTCACAGTTAAATGCTTTTTAATGAAGGTTTCATAGGGAAATGTTCTGTTCCCAATTAATAAATGGGTCTTTATGGCAATTTAGTTCACCTCTATCAACCCGAGTATTTTCTAAACCACCTCCTGCTCCCTCCTTGGGCTGTTCTGTGATCTCAGGAGCTCCCTTTARGCCTCGGCTTTTGGACAATGAGTTGGGTGGTGAAGTGTGACTTGACTGTGCCAGAAACTTTTGCATGGCTAAGRTGGGGATGGCACTGTCTGTACACAGGGACTTCTGTTGCCTCACCAAGGAGGGGAACAAGAGATAATCAATCATCCTCTGACAGCCTTGTAAAATTATTTGCCTGAACTGTAGCCTGAGTGGAACAGTACCATTGTTCCTGAACGTTTTAAGAACTCCAGTAATTACCAGCTTGGATTACAGCCAGAATTGAAACTCAATGAGTTTCAAATCAATTGAATGATGAGTAAATTTCAATTGAATAATGAGTAAAGCCAAGCATTTTATGACCCCCTAAGCAGCTGTTCTAAGAGAGGCCCTTTGAGCAATTCGGGGCTGCAGTGGATGCAGCCACTCTCTCTTAGAGGGGTACTCAGAGCTTCGCTACACCTGCAGGACTGTCACTGAAAACTCATGGTGGGACCTGGACTRACACCTCCACTGCCTCCTCAAGGCTCCAAGTCTCACCCATAGATAAATGACAAGGCATTTGACATTAGTATTTCGTTGGAATTGAGGGAAATTTTTAACAGGTTTATCTTTGTAAATTTATATAGACACTGCCATTGTGTCTGTACATGTTCGTGTGTGCGAAGTGATTGAAACACAAGTATAGCGTGAACGTTGCCAACTTGGATCTATAATTAAGTCACTGCTGTAGCTGTAGTAAATACTACTGAATCCTTTCATAGATGTTAAATTAGTTAATCATTAAATGCTGCTAAATACTTTAGACTAAACTGCATGGGACTGAGATTGGACTCAGCCTCTCCTAGGCTCTCAGGAGTTTAGAAAGCAAGGGGGCTCTCTCTGAACCTCGTGACTCAACAGGAGTCATGAACACTCTTCTGCACCCTTACACTTTTGTGCTCCTGGTCTTTGTGTTAATCATTCTAAACTGTTTCTAACCCAATTTTCATTTGTATGCTCCATCTATGTAGCAAGTTACAGAGTAAAACTTTGCACAGCACTTTGTGAAGTTGTACTTTCACAAATTTATATTAAATCTGCTTTTGCTGACACATTTGACAGTAATTTTTCGTATCAGCTTAACGACTCATTTGTGATAATCAGAGTTTGAGTGGCAAGTTGTTCCTAATGGCAGTGTATCTGTACCACTGATTTCTGCAGTTTTGTGTATTTTATAATTTGCAAATTATAATAATTTACATAAGCAACAGCAATTAGCTATTTTTTATATCATCAATGCAAATTGAAAGTGCAGTAGTAAATAACATGAATTCTATATCTGAAATTTAAATAGTCTACATTATTTTTTATCTTGACATTGCAATTCTGGCAACTGCATTGTCTTCTCCACCAGCCTGCCAACACAATATGATCACTCCTAAAGCTGGAGGTGCTTATGGGGAATCTCAGKCTTTCTTGAAAATAGCTACTTGTAATTGCAGGAATGCTTCAGGATTCAGCAACATTAATTACCTGTAGTTCATAAATCTGCCTTTGAAGCACCTTTTTCACTCTTGATAGAGTTCAGCTCTGTAAAATTGTTAATGGAATTATGCTCTGGATAACCACGAAACTTATTCAAGCAGATAAATCAAACCCAGATGCAATCATAGTAATTGTCTTGTTGAAAAAAAAGTCAAATATTTTATTATAAATAGAGTAAAATCCCAGACCTGTTAATGGCTGCACTCTCTCTGGGTAGAGAGAGTGCCCGCTGGCTTGCACATGCCCCAGAATCTTAAAAATAAAGATACTCAAATGCAGAACACTGGGGTGTAATGGCAGAGGGGGAATGCAATCCTCTGAAGATAGGGCAAAGCTGCAATAAATCTGTGTTCAAGAGGATTAGACCTGAAAGTCCCTTGGCACAAGCAGTTTGTGGCAGTTGCAGAATATCACGAGGCTCTGTAAATGTGTAAGTGGAGGATTAATCCTGCACTTGAAGCAGAACTATTTATATCTCAAAGTAGGATATGTTTCTTCCAGGCTTTCCATTCTTATGTTTTAAATTCAGGTATTGGGGCTAATTTATTTTGTTTGTACAATGTCTTTTATTCTACTGTCCTCACATTCTTTAGGTTCATTTAGATACAAATGGGATTATGCAAAGAAGACAAGCAGTTAGTGGAGACATATCATTATGCTATTTAATTTCACTCATGTCAGTATTCAGACATTCTGGGATGGAATGAAGTCTGAACTGCCAACAGGTAATATAAATAGCATTTGCATAAAWGAAAAATTACCTGATTTTTTTTCTTAAATTTTGGCTTGGGGTTTAAGTTATTTGATCCACTACTTCGCTTTTACTTTGATGCCTTACTCGCTGAGTATCATATTCTTACTGTACAGCCAAATTATTTTTTACTAAAAATAAAATTATATGAAAAAAMCCCACTGATGTCCATAATTTGCAACACTGACCTCCTTAAATAATATTGTCAGAGGCTTCCCTGCAGGGCAGYAGATTTTGTAGGAACAAATGGCAAAAATGGCAAAGCTTAATATTTTGAGCTAAATAATCAATGAGCAGTTCAGGTAAATTCAGAATGAATACAGGAAGTGGATTTATGGTTCAGCACTTAAATAATTTCTTCAAGATGCTGTCAAAAAGCTGATCCTCAATTCTTGGACAAGAGATAGAAGCAATATTAAAGACAGCAATAACAACTAAATGTGCAGATGATCAGAGTTGAACAACGCAAATTCTATCATGAAATATTTCCTTCATTTGGAGGGCAGGTATCAAATTTTAATATGTTTGTTCTTTTTCTGTCAGTCAACAGAACAGAAATTATAAATGTATATGAAGATATGAACTGAGATGGACAATTTTTTTCCCTTAAAAGCTAAATAAAATCTTCAAATCAAATAAAGAATAACCATGCTTCTCTTAACCAGTGCAGAGCTAGGGCACTAGTACATGCTGGAAGTACACTTCTGTATTCTAGGTAAAAATTGCTTTCATTAAATCAGTGTCAATTTAACTTCAGTGGTATAAGGGAACTTAGTCCCCTAGCAATATMAGAACCCACACATATCCCTGTAATGCGCCTAATTTTTCTGGAACCTGGAATAATCTTGATGTTTAAGATTTAGTGGGGTGTCTTGTAGGGAGAGTTATTGAAGGAACAGAGGAAGGAAGAAAAAGATATAAA